CCGTCCGCACAAGAGGAGCGCAGACGATGCCTATGCGCCCCTCCACCTCGGCGCCCACCACCACCTTGTGCGTTTCGCCGCGCGCGCGCTTGCCTGGATGCTGTATCAGGCCCACGCGCGGGTAGCCCGCATCACAGGCGGCGAAGACCTCACGATCACGGCGACACGGGTCGTCGGGGCGAGGAGCGGAGCCACGCCACGAGAGCTTCTGAAAACCTGTATGGTCATCAATATTCAGCATCTCGACAAACGGGCCCCGCGGGAAGGGCGAGCGGTGGACAACCTGCTCGTGAGGCCGCAAAGCCCCGAAGCTGTGCAAGACGCCTTCATGCGCAGAGTTGGCAATCTCCACAGCCATGTTGTCGCCCATCGCCAGAGCATTGAGGCAGGGCGCGACATCCACACCTTCAAGCTCGGGGCGCCAGGCTCGAAAGGCCTTGAAGCGAGATGATGGCAGACGAACGCGCAGGGCGTTACGCCTGGCGCGCGCGGGAGGGACGCGGAAAGTGTAGTAAAACTCCCGTAGGTCGTCACAAGAAACTGCCAGCCATTCCCCAGGTGCCAGCCCCGAACGGCACAGCAGGAAACCTTGGCCAAGGCGCTGGGTGCTGGACGAGATTGAAGCACAGCGGCTGTTCACGACCGTTGGGTTCAGGATCAGCCTGTCGAAATCGCTGTCCTTCGGTGCCCTGAAAGCTCCACAGGCTTCATCCCAGGCGAGGTCCGAAGCAGGAGTCAGGTACAGGGCGCCGCAGGCATCCCACTTCTGGAGTAGGGCCCACAGCTCGGCGCGGTCCATATGGACGCGCGCCCCCTTTTGGCCAGCAGGCCACTCTGACGCCGGTAGCCGCATCACCTCAGGATCGATGAAAGCTTCGCGGACTCGAGCGTCGGAGAGGAAAGGAACGGGATCAAACTCTGGCGAATAATCCCACTTGATGCGAGACGCCCTGACTTTCAAATCGAAGGGCTCGGCCTGGGTGGAGTCCCAAGCCGCCGCAGTCGCCAACGAACCAGGCACAGAAGGAGCGCTGGTCGGGCAGTGCCGCATGGGGGCGGGCACGGAAGAAGAGGAGGTGAAGGAGGCCTCCAAAGCTGCAACATGGGTGGCCAGGCCATGGAGCGAGACCTCAGTGGAGTCGAACTTGGCGAAGGCTCGACCTAAGTCGCCCTTGCCGCCACGGGCGAGGCGAACTGCGATCCGACACAACCGTTCGACACGGGTGCGGACGCCCTCCTGGCAGGGCGAGACCGTGGCGCGGACGCGAGCCTCGGCGGGAGCGAGGCTAGGATGACCCAAGGTGAGCCAGTTCAACGCAATAACAGAATACTGCGCGAGCGTCCGCGCCGCGCGCCGCAATCTCCAGCGCTCCCTGCGCCTCGCCGACAAGCCGTCAGGCGGGGGACCAAGAGGTGGAGCAGGCGGGCACGGCCAAGGATCGCGGGGAGGCGGCCCCAAAAGGTACGGGTCGTCCCTGTCCATTGCACGCATAGATGAGCGGGAGAAAGATCCAAGAGAACATCGAGCACCCATCCCAACCTGGGACAGCGCTGCCGCCCAGTGGGTGATATCAATGTTCGCGCCTGGAAACAGGCGCAGCAAGGCAGACAAGTCAGCGACGAATGGCGCGACTTTGGCAAGAGCAGCAGGGGTGCTTGAAGGAGAACAGGCACCAGCAGGGACACCAACCTCAGGGGCTGCAGGCCCCCTGGAGGGCGCGCTCGACTGAGGCAGGCGTCGGCCAAAATGGCCGAAGGGATCCGAGAAGCGGTTCGGAGCAGAGCGAAGGGCGTGGTGGCGGAACGTACTCCTCCCTGCGGGGCCGCAACAGCATCGCTGGAGGAGCGCATTCCTACCCTCGCGCCCTCGCTGCGCCCAAACGCGCCTAGCAGCCGTAACGGCGTCGGTGCAGACTGTGTGCGGCGGCGTACCCCGGCCCCGCGAAGGCCCACCCTTCCAGGAGGCGGGCGCCAAGGGCGCCTTCAGTCCTTCTTGGGCACCGCCTTCGGTGCCTTGGAAGCACCCTGGGACTTGAAGGGGGGCTTCGAAACCTTGGGCTGCTTGGGCTGATGAGGTGGATGCTTGGGGAGCGCGACGGCGCGCTCGGCGTCGAGACGCGCCCGAAATGCTTGCAGCTCCTTCACGTATTCGCCCTGCGCCGACAGCCAGCGAGGATCCACCAGGGGTGAGAACGGGGTCTGGGCCTCGCGCTCCGTGTGACGACTGGTCACGCGACACGGGGGAGGCTCCAGCCCCGTGAGGAACCAGGCGGCCTCGAGATAGCCGCGGTCCCCCGCCAGCTGGTCGATGAACATGCACTGACACGTCAGTAAGGTCTGGACTCTCTCGGGGTTGCCCTCTTCGCAGGCCCGCCACAGCTCGGCGCTGAGGAAGGCGAAATGCGTCAACAACTCGTGCGTCGTCGGCTGAGCCCCCAAGGGACTGTGCTCCCGAAAATACTGATGCATGGCCATGGGGGTCACGGCGCTGACTTCCACGCCCAGGGCGCGGGCCAAATTCTCCTTCATCAGTCCTCGCACGTCGGGGCCGTGCTGTATCAGCGCTTGCTGCCACTCGCGCCTCCGAGCAATGCCCCCCATCTGAGCCGGTGCGGGCGCGGGGTCGCCCGAGCTCGTGGGCGGAGATTGAGCTGAGTCGCTCAGGGTCCCCAGAAGCGGATGGACGGTTGGGCGATGGCCCCGCCCCTGCTGCAATAAGAGAGACTGGTGCAGGCACTGTAGCATGAGACTGAAGTCCGTCGGATTGGCCGCATGGGGCGGCTCTGACCCGTCGGCGCCGCCCGCCTCGGCAAAGCCGTCGGCCGCAGCGGGATGGGCTAGCCCAGGTGGCGGCGGGGGGCCCATCGTTCCGAAACCGGACGAAGGGGCCCGAGGGACAGCAAGAGAGCGCGCCTTTTCCCACGCCGAGACCAGCGCGGAGGTCGGACCCTTGGGACGCGCGGAGACCCGCTGTGGGGCCACGGGCGCGTGAGACAGGACGGCCTCGATCCCCGCAGGATCCAGCCCGAGGCGCACCGCTTCGTCGCTGAAAAGCTGAGGCACCTCGGGCCGATCGCTCCGGGCAGCCGGCGCGGGGCCCAGCGGCTCGGGTCTGCCGACCATCGTGGAGGCCGCGTGGGCTGCAAGCAAGGCGCGCATTTCGGCAGCTACTTCGGCACGGGTCATGGGAGCCCCGTCGTCCAGAGACGCCGCAGGGGCACCAGGAGCGATCGGAGCGGGACCCGCGACCCGTGGCGGGGCGGCGGTGCCCGCGCGCTTGGCGGGCGGGCCGCGCGGCACTCCAGCGTCCGCGGGAGATCGCGCACTTGGGGCCGTGCGGTCGGCTTCCCCGTCGGCCGCGAACCCCTCGGGCTCCTCCATCTCGTCGGCAGAGTGATAGGGAGTAGCCCGATCGGCCCCTGGGAGCGGCTCTTCCCCTGCAGTAGGCGGGGCGCCGTGCAAGCGCGCGTAGCCCTCGCGAAGCACCCGAACCCCCGAAGGATGTGGCCAATAGACGCGGCCGCGCACCTCGGCGAAGGGAACGATGACTGCGTCCTCGCCGACCTCTAGAGGGTAAAGCGACTCGAGCTCGAGCTCTGCAACCTCGATATCTACGACGAGGACGGATGCGGTAGTGGCGAGCGGCCGTGAAGCGGCCCCCTGGAGCTGGACGTCCACTAGCTGGAAGGGGCCTATCATCCCCGCAAAGCCATCCGCCTCGGCAGCCTCGAGCTCCGCCGTAGAGCGAAAGGCGCCAGGCAGGGCCAGAAGGATGCCCCCTTCTCGAGACGCGAGGGGGATAGCTGCCCAGCTGGTGTCGCCGTCGTCTAGGCGCCATCGTGCGTAGTCGCGAGCCGTGGGAGCCGCGAATGGGTAGAGCTCGGGCCAAAGAGGCCCTCCGCCAACTGGTGGCAGCTCAGCCATCAATGGGCGCTGCCGTGGAAGCTGCCGCCCGAATGCTGGGCGTCTGCCCGCTCGAGCGCTCGAGGTCGAGGCGGAACCCCGTAGGCCAGCGCTCGCGCCGCACGGCGGTCCTGCTCAGGGGAAGCAGGAACCGCACCGCGCGGCCAGGCGGAGGCCCTGAGCCTCAGCCACACGTACGGGCCCAGCAGCCCGAAGCAGCAGCCTGCGCAGGCGCTGCACGCGGCCGTCACCCAAAGGAGGGCGACGACCGTGCTGAGCAGCCAGGGAGAGACCCCGCCGCTCAGATCCACCGCCAGCCCGAGGCAGACGGTGGGGCAGGCGGAACCCGCCGAAGGGAGGGGGCAGTAAGCCCCCTCACCCTCGGACGAGTCCGCCTGCTGGATGGACCAGGCAGGCGCAGGAGGCCCTTGGTCCTGAAGCACAGAGAGGGGGGCAGCCACGAGCCGCTCGTAGAGCGCGGCCCGCAGCCCCCTGAAGAAGATCTCCCCAGCGCCCTCGAGAGCCGCTTGTGCGACCGCCTGCATAAGGCGTCCGCACGCGCGGCCGACGGGGGGGCACTTGGGCAGAGAAGCTGCGGAGACAGCAGGAGCTTGCTCACAGAGAATAGAAGAAGCAGGAGGAGGAGGAGGAGGAGGACGAGAGGAGGAGGAGGGAGGAGGAGGAGGAGGAGGGAGAAGGAGGACTAGGAGGAGGAGGAGGAAGAGGAGGAGGAGGAGAGGAGGAGGAGAAGGAGGAGGAGGAGGAGGAGGAGGAGGAGGAGGAGCGCGGGAGAGGAAAGGACGAGAGGAGAGGAGGACATCATGGCCAGCTGCCGCTTCTTGATGGCCCATGGTTCTTGATGGCTCCCCGATGCAACGCCGCTCCGAAGTCCGCACCGGGAACGCACGGGCCGGCCCACGCAGGGAGGGGCCGTTCGGGCGCGGAACGCCTAGAAAGAGGATGAGAAGGGGGAGGAGGAGGAGGAGGAGGAGGAGGAGAACGAGGTGGAGGGATGAGGAGGCATAGCGGAGGAGGAGAAGGCAAATTGGAGGCAGAGGGGGCAGATTGGAGGCCGCTCTGAGGCTGCGTGGGGGCTCCTTGTACGTCTCGAACGCCAGGGCGGGCAGCGAGGGCGAGGCCGCCGCCGCGCCCAGCGCCCCCAGGAGCTCCCGCCGCGCGGGCGCGGGGCCCTCCTGCGGTCCGCGGGGGGGAACGACGAGGACGACGAGGACGAGCGACCACGACGACGACGACACGACGACGAGGACGAGCGACCACGACGACGACGACGACGACGAGGACGACAAGCGACGACGATGAGGACGAGCGACGAGGAGGACGAGCGACGAGGACGACGACGAGCGACGACGAAGAGGACGACGGCGACGAGCGACGAGGAAGAGGGCAAGCGACAACGAGGGGGACGAGCGACAACGATGACGACAAGCGACGACGACGAGGACGAGCGACGACGACGACAGGCGGCAACGGGAGGACAAGTGGCGACATCTGAACCCCACCCTTTGTTGTGCACTTCCGGCAAAACAGCCTTGCGCAGCTGCCGCGGGTCAGCTCTTGATTCGAGGCGCCCTCGGGTCGGACTGCGGCACGTGACGGCCTCCACGCAACTTGCGGCTGCACAGCACGACCCTGCTCGAATGCCATTCGCCACGCCTGCGCATCCCGACCTCGCGTGGACTCCCCACCAACCATCGATTCTTCTGGATCGATGGGCAGCTGGGGTGGGTGATCGGACCTCGCCACGGGCTCGACGAATCACGGACCCAACCCCGCCCGCCCATCGAGTTGCCTGAGTCGTTGATCGGCGAAAGTGAGGTTCGGATTTCGCCGCCGACAGGTAAACAACAGGTTCAGGCGCTTCGGGGGCTGGTTCAACCCAGAGCTTAAACTGACGAGGCCCCTGCAGGTGGGCACGATCAGAAACTATTGCTTGGCGTGTCGCGGCGGCGGCCCCGGCGACGCGCTGCCTTGCAAGCGGATAGACTATCGCTCCGCTCCGCGGCGCAGGAGGCTATGAAATGCTCGGGACGTCGACGCCTGGGGCTGGCCACGTGGATTGCGTGTCGCGCCGAAGCGTGGTGGAACAGAACCGGACGCGCGACGCGCTAACCCACAAATTCCCGACAATAAAATCATGGGGCCCCTGCGGGTGGACATGCGCCCGTCGGTCGGTAGAAGCAGGCAGAAACATGAAATAGGAAGGCGCGTAGTAGATTGAGAAGAGCGGCGCGCGGCAGAAGCATATCGAGTCTTGAAATAGGAAGGCGCTCGGGGCAGATTGCGATCTGGGAATCCAGAAGTACCTGCTTTCAACGACCGACCTGTGTGAGGAGGAGGAGGATAGCATAGGATAGGATAGGACAAGGCCGTTGGGGGTCAGGGTACCTCGCCTACCTGACAGGCATGCGGACCCCTGGGTGTAAACATGGATGCTGGTCCCCGACCCTGGTGACGGACGGAGGCTGCCTGGCGCGCTCGGCCTTAGCCGATGCGCCGCTAGCAGGAAGACCCAGCCTCGGCGTGAAGCAAACGCAGACGCAGGCGGCCTCGGGTGCCTCCCGTTGGAGGCGGGCCCCCGGCCGATGAAAGCACTCTCCCCCTCTCACTCACTCTCCGCCCCCGCCCCCGCCCCCGCCCCCGCGCTCCTCTCACTGCTGACGGCGCAAAATACAGGAGGCAGCCTGGTGCTGAGAAGGCCCCCGCTCGCAGATGCGGCTGAAATCGCAGAGACATGGAGAGATGCCCCATTGGCTGGTGAATGATCTACCTCTCTCTGACTGTGGGGCCTCGCTGACAGAAGATGCCGCCGCTGCTCGCGACGTGCTGCCGAAGCCCCACCCTGCCTTCTCAGCCACGCTGGCGTCGCGGAGGCGGATGTCTCCACTGGCGTTCGGCTCGACTGGTAGGCCAGGCCCGCCTGGACCTTGATGTATGGGGCCCACCCCTGAATGGCAGGGCTGGGGTTCGTGCACCCCGGGCGCTGGGTCTGCTGGATCCCCTTGTGCGGCCTCTGCTCTGTGTCGGCGTGGCCCTGCTCCGCTGTGGCGACCGCGCCGTAGCCCCAGCCATGCTCGGACTCCGTCCACTTCGTCTACTGTCCCTCGAACTCGTCGGCATGGAGACGGATGTAGTCGTGCCCCCCACGGGTATGGGCCTTTGACCAGTCTGCTCTGGCTGCTCAAGACCCCCCCGACGCTGCGGCAGCTCTCGATGGCCGACGTGATCTCTGCTTGCTGCAACTTCAGGAGCTCGACTGCATGGGCTCTCTCCATCTCCTCGTACTGGTGGCAGCTCCTGCTGGAGACGACCTTCGCCCGGCTGATGGTGATGCGATCCAGCTAGGAACTGTTGGTTGTGCTTGATGAAGGCATAACACTATTCGCCCGTGGACTGCAGCGTCTGATGGCAGACCACGAGACGGTAGCTCACGGACCCGAGCACCTGATCACCTGGATCGCCACTTGCTCCAAGACGGGCGTCTGAGCCGCCGCTGACGCCCGCGCTGTAGGGCAACGGTGGTGCTGCGCCGCCTCGGGCCGACGTGGTTGCCCACTGGCTCATAGCTATCGTGGGAGTTGCTGAAAGGCTCGAATGGTATCGACATGACCTGCGGGTAGGGCGTGGGTAGTAGCTGGGGTCGGAGCCTGTAGCCTTGCACCAACTGTCTGATCGTTGCCTGGACTGTTTCCATCCGTTGGCTCCTCTGCGGGGCTCGGAGAACACGTGAACGCATGACAGGAGAGAAGGAGTATGTCTGTGGCTGTGAGATCAGGTCGTCGGAGTAGGCGATGTCTCGGGAGGGGGGGGGGGGGAGGCGCCCTGGCCGGTGGGCCCCCTTTGGTGCCCTGAGGAGATGGTGCCGATAGCAATTCCAGACGCCTCCTAGATGGGGTATGGGTCGAGTAGATGGGGTATGAGGGTCTCGCCGCATCGACGACGCATCGCCCATGCATCGGCGGTGCATCGGCGACGTCGGCGATGCATCGGCGCTGGCGGCGTGGAGAGAATCGGGCTCCACATCGAGCCGCATCGGCGATGCATCGGTGATGCGGCGCGATCAACCGACCCCATCTACTCCGATTCCATCTGGGAGGCCTACAGAACAACAAATACGTCCCATCACAACCGATGATGGTGATGGTGATGGTGATGGTGACGGTGATGGTGATGGCGATGATGATGCTGCTGATGATGTTGATGCCGATGCTGATGATGACGATTATGCTGATGTTGCTGGTGGTGGTGATGATGACGCTGATGATTCTGGTGATGCGGGCGATGATGGTGATGATGGTGGTGATGATGATGTGTTATTTGTTCTCTTTTTACCTCCTCCACACCAGCCGGTGCCGCGACCGTCGAAGCCGCTCGAGCTGATGATCATGATATTGACGGTGATGATGATGACGAAGAAGAAGATTACGCTGCTGATGATGATGGTGATGATTATGAGTATGATGATGGTGATGATGCTGATGCTTTCGATGGTCAATCTGACTATGATGATGGTAGTGTTGATGCTGATGCTGCTGATGATGTGGTGATGATGATGGTGATGATGCTGATGCTGATGCTGCTGATGATAATGGCGAGGATGATACTGATGATGTTGGTGGTGGTGATGCTGATGCTGATGATGTTGACGATGATGACGACGATGATTCTGCTGACGTTGCTGCTGTTGATGATGATGCTGATGATGATGATGATGATGATGATGATGATGATAATGGTGCGTGTGCTGATGATGCTGGTGATGATGCTGGTGATGCTGCTGCTGCTGCTGATGATGATGATGATGATGCTGATGCTGATGATGATGATGATGATGATGATGATGATGATGATGATGATGATATTGATGCTGCTGCCGCTACTGATGGTTTTAATCATGGGCCTGGCGAGGCCCCCAAAGCTCCAACACACACACGCACACATCTGTATGTATGGTACCGGGCTCCGGGCCCACGGCCCCCCCCCCCCCTCCCCCCCATATGGGATGGTCCCAGGATTCCTCTGGCCCCCCCCCCCCAGATGGTGTGGTCCCAGAGACGACGACGACGACGACGACGACGACGACGACGACGACGACGACGACGACGACGAGGACGACGACGAGGACGACGAGGACGACGAGGACGACGACGACCGCGACGACTACGACGACGGCGACGACGACGACGACCTCTGAACCACCACAGCACCACACCACATCCAGGGGGGGGGGGGGGCACCGCAGCGCAGCACCACGCCACGCCCACAGGGGGGGGCGGGGGGGACCATCGCGCGGGGGGGGGGGGACCACGCCACGCCCACAGGGGGGGCGGGGGGCAAGCCCTGGACCATATATACGTACTACATATATATATATATATGTATGTATATTTGTACATAAATCGATGTATATACATGTATATTTGGTTATGTACATGTACATAACCAATCACCGTCGCGACTTCTTCGCGACGCGAAGCGCTGTCCAAAGGTTCCCGCCCGTGAGCCCCAACGGCGCCGACTGCAAACCACACCCCGGCGTAGCCACACCCAGTGCAGCCGCCGAAAGACGACGGCGCGCAACGGGGCCCCCCCCCGTCACCCACGACCACGACGACGAAGGCGACGACGACGGCGACGAGGACGACGACGACGACGACGTCGACGTCGACGACGACGTTGACGACGACGACGACGACGTTGACGAGGACGCGACGACGACGATGTCGTCGACGACGCCCGCCGCCGATGGCCGCGGGCGGGGCGTCCTCGTGGCCGCGGCCCGCCCGCGCGGGCGCCCCGGGCAGCGAGAAGCCGCCGCCCGCCGCGAGCGAGCCCAGGGCGAAGAGGAGGAGGGCGGCGGGGGCCCTGGCGAAGGGACGCTCGGCAGGTGCATTCCTCTTCCATTCGTCCTTTCGTCCTCCTCTTTTCCTCCTCCCTTCCTTTTCCGTTTGTCCTCCTCCCTTCCTCCTCCTCTTTTCCTCCTCCTCTTCTCCTCCTCCCTTCCTCCTCCTGCTCCTCCCTTCCTCCTCCTTTCTTCCTCCTCTTCCCGTCCTCCTCCCTTCGGCCCGGCACCAGCCCGGGCGTCTCTCATTCTGAGCTCGCGCTGGTCCATCGGGCCCCTTCGGCGCCTCCTGCTCTCTTCTGGCTCCTTCCTCCTCCTCCTCCTACTCCTCCCCCTCCCCCTCCTCCTCCTCCTCCTCCTCCTCCTCCTTCTCCTCCTCCTCCTCCTCTTCCTCCCTTCCGCTCCCTTCCCCTCCTTCCTGCTCCTCCTTCTCCTCCTCCCTTCCCTCTCCCTTCCTGCTCCTTCCTCCTCCTCCTCCTCCTCCTCCTCCTCCTCCTCTCCTCCTTGCTTCCTCCTCCCTTCCTCCTCCTTCCTCTTCCTTCCTTCTCCTCCTTTCCTCCTCATTTCCTCCTCTTGTCCTCCTGTACTCCTTTCTTCATTTCCGTTCCTTTCCTTTTCTCCTCCTTCTTTCCTCCTCCTCCTCCCCCTACTTTCCCCCTCCTTCCTCCTCGCTCTTTTCCTCATTTCCTCCTCCTCCTCATCAGCATCATCATCAGAAAATGTTTGTTACTACGTCCGCTAACGGTCGCTGCCCAGGGGAGGGGGGGCTTGGGCGTGGTGGGGCACTTCGGGGCGGAGGAGCGCTGAGATTGCCGTAATATGCGCGCGAGCACCAACATGTGGGAGGTCCCCCCCCCTTCCGTACGATCGTTACCGTTACCCCCCGGCAGAGATGGGGGGGAGGTTTGGTCCGGGTAACGACCGTTACGCGCAAGAGGATTAAAACACTCTCTCTCCTGCTGCTGCTGCTGCTGCTGCTGCTGCTTCTGCCGCTCCTCCTGTGGCTTCGACGTGCTGTTCGGCCAGCTCGAGCCCGCAGCGTCAGAGCGCGCGGTCAGCCTCGTGACGCCGCGCACGGCAAGTGCAGCAAGACGACCCCAACGAAGTACACGCCCACCCGAGGCCAGCAGAAACGGCAATGGGGTCAATCTATTCATTGAAGCAGAGTACCAGAGGCTGCGACCTGGCCCTGAACGAACGGGACGAGGAAAGCCATCATGGGCCCTGGGGCTGTGCGGCCAGGCGACCCTCCTGGGCGGACATCAAGACGAAGCCATGACCAGCACAACATCGGATTGGGATACCCGGAGATCCTGGCTTCGCGTTTTTGTTTGCACTTGGCATTTTCGCCCAATTTCGACCCCTGGGACCGTCACATATCGATCTGCCGCGAAAAATTGCAGCAAAGAAATGGGGTCTGGGGTCCCGGGCGGTTTAACGGTGTCTTTCTTTCCTCTTCCAAAACCCTCTTCCCCTCGGGGAGGGGTGCCCTCCTCCTCCCCTCCCTGAGGTTTTTGGCGGGGGCCGCGAGGTGGCAGAGGGTTCATTTTCGCCCAAGATGGCTCCAAGAGGGCCTCCGACGCTCCAAGACGGCCTCCAAGGCGGCTCAAGATAGCCGAAGATGGTTCAACATAGCTTCGGATCACTCCTTCTCCTTGGAGGCGGCCGCGGGGTCCGAGGATGGTTGGACATCGGCCACGACGGGGGGTGCAACCAAACCAGCTCAAAATCGGTCCCCCGGACCCCTGCTGGGGTCTACCTGGTGCAGTTTCGCACTCGGGATCCGTTTTTGACATGCAAAAAACATTTCTCGAACCCAGAACCAGTCCTAGGCCACCTCAGACCCCCAGCCGGCTCCAAGTTCCTCCTCGGCTCGTCCCCTGCGGGGAACTGGCGCCGCGCGTCGCCGCGTACTCTGGGCGCCCGCTTGAGTCCAGGCTTGGAGGCGGACCTCCAGCGCGTTGAAAAACCACAGGACGGCACTTGTTTCTAGACTTGCGGGCTCTGGGGGCCCTTGACCTGGCCTTGGGGGCGTCAGCATCGACTTACACGCAAGGGTGACCCTGGCTAAGAGTGACCTTTGGTGCGTGGCTTGTTGGAGGCCGCGGGGGGTCCACACACAAGCGCGCAAGACGCTACTATCGTTATCGCGTTCGGAGATCGGGGGACCCCATTGGGCCCGCACCAAAGGTCACTCCGGCGAAATGTCGCTCTCACGACTGGTCGATAGCAAAACGACGCAAGGTGAAAAACCGATCCCAAGGAATGAATCGACGTTCTTGGGCTAGCCAGGACGGGTGCAACCCCTTCCGGGAGAGAGCGCCTTGGGGAGACCGGCAGGTCCTCTCCCCTCTTCTCGTGCTGTTTCGCCAGCGCAGCGTTTCACCCTATGTTCGTGCGTTGCTGCTCGAAGTTGAGTTCTTGCCCTCACGCCGGACGGCACACGGCTTCCTCTTCCAGCCCAGTGAGTCGAGATCTCGTGGGGCCGGCGTCATAAAACAGACCATGACGACGGGGGTCTCTGTCTGGGGGCCCTCGGGGCCCCCGGGAGCTCTGGCCCACTCCCAAGGGACTGGCTTTCGCCTTGCCTTGTCTTTTGACGGCCACGGGGGGCACGGCGACGGCCCCAGACGCGCCGAACACAACGAGAAACCTTTGTCATGCAGGGCTGGACCTAAACATTGTTCTTCGTTTCGTTTTCGTTTTGTTGTTCGTTTTGCTCTACCTGTTTTCCAGTACCTCCCTGCCAGAACGAACAAACAAAACACAGCCGAAGTCCAGCAAAACAGCGTTCAGGTCCAGCCCTGTCGTCATGAGTTTCATGCAACGTGGGCCCCCGGAGGTCACCGCGGATCATGTGTGGACGGCCCCAGGCCCGCTGGGGGCCCGCGCACACCGAAAACTACAAACGACCTCCGTCTTGTCTTCTCCATACGTTGGAGGTCCTGCCCCTCGCCCAATCCATCGTTGCCCCCCTCCTTGCGGGTCTCAATCCGGGCCTCCCACGACCGATCGGGATCCCCATCCCCCCGGAACGTCCTCGACGAGGCGCAACTGGTGGAAACCGCACTGGGCCTCGAAAACTTAACAAAACAACAACAGAAAACTGTACAACAAAACACCTCCCCTGAGCTCCTGTGCCTGCGGTCAGGACTTTCTGCTTCGCGTATCGCGGCGGCGGCCCCAGCGACGCGCTATGCCCTGCGAGCTGATAGCGTGTCGCTCCGCTCCGCGGGGCGGGAGGCCGGAGAAATATCGGGACGCTGACGCCTGGCGGACTGGGCAGTGGACAGCGTGTTCGCCGCAGCGTGGTTGGCGGCGAGACATGCTAACCCTGAGATCCGACGTTGCATCAATCATTACAACATTGCAAGAACATCTCCACCCAAGCCCTTGACCCAATCTTTCTGCGCTGCTTTTTCGAGCCGGATCGATCTGTGAGGGTCCTGTGGCTCGAAACTACGCGACAACGCCCATAGTGAAACAAGTGCAACGCCAGGACCTCAGGGAAGCCAATATTCCCCGAAGCCCGTATTGGTTCACAATGTCGACCCCCCGAGGTCTCGACCATTCCTCTGGACAGTTTTTTCATCCTGAGTCGTTTTCTGTCGGCCCCGAGGCCCAGCGAGGGCCTCCAGGGGCCGAAAGTAACGCGAAACTTGCCGTCGTTATCCTTTCATGACTCCAGGGGTTCTGGGGTTCGTGATCTGTAACGATGCTTCGTTTCACTGCCTCGCTACCCTTAAGTCGGGCCTGTCCTCCTACAGGGGGATGTTGGACAAAAATCAAAAACACTCAACAAATGCCCCCAAATAGCAAAACCAAATTCAAGAAATCGTCACCAGACTTCTATGTTTGAATATCCCCCCTGTCGAGTGACATACCCGACTTTTTGGAGTCCCGAAACTGTGCGGTGACAGACCGTGCGGTTACCTCGAAATCCCCCAAGACCTCACCGCACGGTCCGCCACCGCACGGTCTTGGGACCTGGGAGGCCCCAGTCGCCCGAGACATCCTCGGAGAGGAACTCGAGTCCCAAAACCATGCGGTGACCCCGAATCCCCACAGGCTCACCGCACGACGTGGTCACCACCCCGCTTGGGGGCCCCCCGATTAAAACCGAACAGCCCCAACCTGCCGGGCGGGAGCTCTGGGGGCGACGCGAGGGGGCTCTGGGGCCCCCAGCCGGGAGCGTCCAGGAGGGGGGCCTCCAGGAAGGGGGTTCGCAAATTCCGTCGCGACGCGAGGGGGCCTCCAGGGGGAGGGGCGTCCAGGAGGGGGGGTCGCGAATCCCGTCGCGATGCGAGGGGGCGCTGGGGCCCCCAGCCGGGGGCGTCCAGGAGGGGGGCCTCCAGGAGGGGGGGTCGCAAATTAAGGCGAAGCTAGGCCGAGGATAACATCGGGTTCGGAAAAGTCAAGAACCTCTGAGATCCGGCGGATCTGGGGGATGTATCGGGCGCCGCGGCTTTCTCAGAGCGTTCCGGAACGCTCTGAGAGAGTTCGGGAACGCTCTGGAGCGGATGTATCCTCGTCCCAGCCCCGTCTGGCAAATCATGGCCCGAGGCATGTGCGCAGACCACGGGGGGGGGTTAGGACCGTATCGAAAGAAGAAGCGGGCCATGGGATAATCTGGGGAGATATATCATGGCCCAGGCCATGACATCCAACCCCCAAATTATCGTCCCCTTCTTTGGCCGCCCCGGAGCCTGCCCTGAGATCCGCGAACAAACATAAAACATCGTAAACAATCCCGGCTGTAGCCCTGGACCCCGTATTCCTGCGCCATCTTCCCATCCGCATCGATCTGAGAGGGTCTCCGGGCCCGAGATTGTGCCAAAATGCCCGGCTCGCAGAAATTGAGGCGCCAGAATGGTCGGGGCTTCCACTCCTCTGGCAGCCTCGTGGACTCATGCGGCATGCCCTGCACTTCGTCGTGCGCTCTCGGCACCCGCACAAAGACCACATGTTCTGAGTGCGTTCTCCGCTCCCCGAGCGCTTACCTCCTTTCTGTCTCATTCCCGGGTGCCGCATTCGCGTGCCGTGTGTCCCACGTCACGCCTTGACCGCGTCTCGGGCCCAAGTCGCCGCCGACACAAAAAAATTCTCAGGGTTGGGCCTGGTCCGACCAAACGCTGGTCCTCTCTCCCTCTCCTGCTTCCTCCTGAAGATGAGGAGGAGCAGGAGGAGGGGGAGGAGGAGCAGGAGGGGACGGCTGCGTCTGAAAGAACCAAGAGCCACCATATCGAAGGTCGGAGGAGGAGGAGGAGGAGGAGGAGGAGGAGGAGGAGGAGGGGGAGGAGGAGGAAGAGGAGATGTAGTAGGAGCAGGAGGAGGACGAGGAGAAGGAGGAGGAGATGGAGGAGGAGGAGGAGGAGGAGAGAAGGAGGAGAAGGAGAAGGAGGAGGAGACGGAGGAGGAGGAGGAGGGAGAGGGGGAGGAGGAGGAGATGGAGGAGGAGGAGGAGGAGGAGGAGGAGGAGGAGGAGGAGGAGGAGGAGGAGGAAAGCCCTCGACCTGGGCGCCCGCGCCGCGGCGGCCCGCGCCGGCTGCTGCCCCGCCATGGCAAGAGCACGCGAGGAAGGGGCGGCGGTGGATGGCTGCGCTCGGGCGGGGGCGCCTCGGGGACGACGGCAACGACGCCGACACGACAACGACGACGACGACGACGACGAGGACGAGGACGAGGACGAGGACGAGGACGACGGCGGCAGCGGCGGCCGGCGGCGGCGGCGGGGGGGGGGGCGTGCTCCCCCGACGAGGCTCGGGCGAGGCCGCCTCTCATCCTCCTCCTGGTCCTCCTGATCGTCTTTCTCCAACTCACGAACATCCTCGATCAACGTTCTTCTCCCTCTTCTCAACCATCTTCTCCATCGCTTCGTGTAGCCCGCTTCAACGCTGAGAAGCGCTTGCATATGGCCACTGTTTCCCCTCAACTCGTCGCCTTCACGACCTTCATTGTTGTTCCGCGCTGCCTCGCCCTGGCCCATCCCCTGAACACATATGGCTGAGATGCCTCGCAGCCTGCACACAAAACAATTGGTAGGGCCTGCGATATACAATTGCGCGTGTGTCCGAACGTTCGCGAGCGGGTGCGTACAGGTGGATGTTCAATGCATCCAGTGGTGCGTGTTCACATCCCCGATGGGGATGCGCATAGCCAACTATCAAAACAAAACCTTACCCGCTATGTCAACATCCACTCATCATCATCATCATCATCATCATCATCATCATCATCATCATCATCATCATCATCAGCAGCAGCATCATCATCAACATCATGATCATCATTATTCATTGGCCCCCGTTATACATCCACAGCCTCATCCTTCTCTTCCTCTCCTTCGCCGTGAGATGATGAATGCAATGAGATACTGTCATTCGGTCACCGACGTGTCGCCCACAACAACGCAGGTCAACAGCACCGCATCAAACGACAAGTTTGTCGCTGACGGCGTAGAGAGTTTTGCTCCCAATTAATATTGCGCAATCGAGAAGCACCGTCTGTAATTCTGGAAGCACTGCGCATGTATGGGATCAATTGAATGGCGACGGGGAACCCAAACGTAGCAGGGAGAGGGGGGGGAAAAGGAGGATGGGCCTGGAGAGGGGTAGGATCATGGCAAGAATGGGGGAGAGAAGGCGGAAACCAGAAGGATGAGATGACGTGGCGAGGAGGGCAAGAAGCCAAGGACGTGCAGTTCGTGCCTCCCGCAAGGAGTCATCGAACCCACGGGGCTGTCATGAGGTCGCACCTGAGTGCGCTTGCGTATGCGAAACCTGGACCCTGTACAAACGTAGCCGCGCAGAGAGACCTTGCGGAGCACTGGCAGGAGCCGCTCGGCAAGAGACGGAGGGAGGAAGAAGGACGAATATGAGAAGGAGCGGGCGGAAACGGACAGAACAGGGAGGCCGCTGATGGAAATGAATAGAAACAGGGACGAGGGAAAAGAATGCATAATAATGATAACGGGAGATAAGAGGAGGAGGAACGGAGGGAGGAGGGAGTGCGGGAGGAGGAAGGAAGTGATGGGGAGGGACGATAATCACGATGAAGAGGAATGGTCCTCCTTCCTCCACTCATCCTGCTCCCACTTCCTCCTCCTCCTCCCTTCCTGCTGGAGGGTGAGAATGAGGAAGGGCAGTAGGAGCATGAGGAGGGTGTCTGAGGCCAGCCTGTAACGAGGCGGCATGGCCGCCGAGAGCCTTCAGAGCGAAGCAGCAAGACACGGGCTATCAACACCACAGGGTTGTTATCGCCAAGTTTAGGGGAACACAACGATACGGATACCGCTGCTCCGCGACCCTCTCTTGGCGTGCGCTCTCGCCATGATTTTGAAACGTAACCAGCCGTGGCGACGAAGGAAGCGTCGCGGGTACCTACAAGAACTTGAACATGCATACGTAATTAAACGTAAACTTTCGGAGGCTCGCAAGGAGCTCCGACTGCTTATGCTTATGCATGCTTTTCTAGCGTATCGGTGCCTTCCCCCTCCGGAAGTGCTGTGCTGTGAGAGCGCCGCGGACCAACCGCGGCGCATCAGATCAACGGAGGCGGGGACAAACTCTCCAGCGATCTAGCGCCAGAGGTGCAGGTGCCGCTGTGCGGCCTGTTGGCGGCGTCCACAATGGGGATGCCTTCTCAAAAGGCGGGGGGGCTGCCTTCTGAGAAGGCGGGGGGGGCTTCTTGGAAGGCGGGGGGGCTTGGAAGGCAGGGGCCTTCGTAGAAGGCCCGGAGGCTTCCACGAACGTCGCTTGCTCAGAAGCCCACACGCGCCACCCTGAGATCCGACGGCGCGAGTGAATCGAATCATCGTTACAAATCACGACCCCCAGATCCCCTGGAGTCATGCAGGACTTGCGACGACAAATCTTTTTCTACTTTTTCGGCCTCTGGAGGCCCTCGCCGGGCCTCGGGACAGTCGAAAACGACTAAGGATGACAAACCAGTCCAGGGGAATGGGTCGAGACTGTGGGTCGACGTTGTGAAACAAATGATTTCGTTGGGGGTCTGGGCCAGAAGCCTAGACCCCATCTCACTGCACTGCGCCACTTGGCAAGCTGGACCGTGAGGGTCCCGGGGCTCGAGACCATGCGAAAACGCCCGGTTCGGAAACTAACATGCGACACTAGGATCCCAGGCCCCCGACGCCATGATTTTTCGGAACGTCGACCCCCAAATCGGGAGCGGCCAAGAGGGGGGTGTCCAAGAGGGGGGGGGTGCAGATCATGACCGGCGGCATGTGCGCGGCCCAGCGGGGGGGCCAGGGACGCAATGAAATGAGAAGAGGCGTCACAAAATCTGGGGAAATATCATGGCCCCCGCCATGATATCCCCCCCCCTGGTCATCACCCCCCTTTTCTCCGCCCCCGACCAAAAGCCTCGACCCATTTTCCGGGACCAGTCCTTCATTCTGAGATGGCCTGTGACGGTCCCAGGGCCCAGCGAGGGCCAACCAAACCCGAGGAGGAGCAGGAGGAGGAGGAGGAGGAGGAGGAGGAGGAGGAGGAGGCCGAAACCTGTCGGACCTCTCCCGTCGCGCTGTTTTCCGTGGCCCCCCGTGCCCGCTGCCGGGGGTGCAGCGCCGTCTTGGCCGCCCCGGGGCGCCCCGCTGCGGCCCCCGCTGCGTGAGCGCACCCGTTCCTTCTTTTCCTCCCGCGGCCGCCCCCCCCCTCCCCCCTCTTCCCCCCCCCTCTTCCCCCCCTCTTCCCCCCCTCTTCCCCCCCCCTCCCCCCTCTTCCCCCCCCTCTTCCCCACCTCTTCCCCCCCTCTTCCCCCCCCCCTCCCCCTCTTCCCCCCCTCTTCCCCCTCTTGCATCCGGACGGCTCGCAATGCCCTCCCCCGGCTTGCCCGAGCGCGCGTGCGGGCTGCCTCTGCCGCGCCGCGACGGAAAGCAGCCTTCTTCGTGGCCCGAGGGGGTCTGGGCGTGGGTGCCCCCCTGTGCGGCCTGCGCAGGCGGGGCAGCTCCCCCTTCTGGCACATGAGGGCCCTCACGGCGCGGAGGAGCTCCGGCTGCATCACCTCGCCTCCTGGGCGCTGGGAAGGGCATCGCGGGGGATGGGATGAGGTGGAGGAGGGGGTGGAGGAGGACAACTCTCTGGCTACTTGGAGGAAGGGGCGGGGGAGCAGCTTTGGCGCCGCGCACAAGGGGGCAGGGGGAGGGAAGGCTTCTTAGAAGGAGGTTGCTTCTCACGTAGAGGGCGCCGGCCCTACGTCTACAGATAAGGCCGGCGCCTTCTACGAAGCAGGGGTGCTTCTAAGACGCCTTCCCCCCTCCCCCTACCCCCCCTGTGCGCGTGGACGAGGGGGTGGCGGAGGACAGCGAGAACCCAGACCCCCTGGAGCCATGAACAAAAACATGACCGACGGTGTTTCGATATTTTTGGTCGGTGATCTACTGACCTGGGTCAATTCAAGCCAGGCTCAGTGAGGCTTTGCAGTGTCCTGCAAGATCCTGCAGGATCCTGCACCCAAGCCCAGGTCAACGCGCCCCTGGCTCTGCAGGCTCCTGCAAGATCCGGCGCTCTGACGGACTCCCGCTTGCATTGACCTCCGTCTCTTGAGCCCCGATTCGGCCTCTGTGAGCCCTGACTGGGCGGGTCTCGGGACCGTCAAACAACGACTCAGGATGGCAAACCGGTCCCGCGAAATGAGCCGAGACCTCCCGGGGGCCGACGTCATGCGAAAAGCATGACGTCGGGGTGGAAGAGGGGGTGGGGTGGAGGAGGGGGTGGGGTGGAGGAGGGGGTGGAGGATTGGATGGGATGTAGGAGGGGGTGGAGGAGGACGACGGGAGGAGGTGGCCAAACGAGAATGGATGGCGCCAGGAAGGTCGAGAGGTGAGCACACCAACTAGCAGTGGAGGGAATATGAAAAACACCGATCCCTCAGAGGAATGCTTCGCGTCCTTCTTTATCTTGATACGGGCGAGCAAGGTGCGAAGGTGGAGGAGTGGTAGAGGAGAACAACGAGAAGAGAGGAAGACAACTGCATAAAACATAAACTTTCGGAACTCCGCGAGGGTTTCTTGGATCGGCGCTGGGCCCCCCAGCGGCGCCTCTGGCGCCGCCCCCCGCGCGCTCTGTGCGCCAGCGAGGGGGGCAAATCACCGATCCAAGGAATCAGCGCGGAGCTCCGAAATATCATGTACATGCCGTTTGTCCTCTTCGGGAGGTGGGCGAAAGAGGACGGAGCAGGAGGACAAGTAGGAAGGAGTGGGGGAGGGAGGAGGAGGAAGGATGGAGGAGGCGGAACGAGGACATTCCAACATCAGAGAGGGCGCAGTCCACGGGCGAGTGGCGTGAGCAAATCCACTGGAAGGGCCTCCGAAACAGGGACCCCTCATACCTCCCCTTCCCTCCGCACCTGCACCTGCACCACTTCCACCTGCACCACTTCGCCTCCAGCGTCCACCAGCTCATGACTCAGCACCCCGACCTCGGCAAACAAGGACTACAAACACTGAGGGCCCCGGCCCCCCCGCGCAGGCCCTAAAGGGCCCCGCTCCCGGCGGAACCGCGCGCTCGCCTCGCCTCGCCTCCCCTTCCCTCCGCCCACCCCCTGCGCAAGGCTTTCGCTCACATCCCTGCAGGCAGCCGTGGGAGACGGGTCAGAGGCCCCATCGCTGCGGCGGTTGCGGTGCTTCTCGACCTGTCTTGGGCGGCCTGATCGCCTGTGCACGCCGTTCACCGTGCTTCGCACTGTTGATATCGATTTCCCTCATGCCTGTTGGACACCCCTTCTGTCGCGTCG